GGAAAGAGCCAGCTGCTAGAAGGAAAGCAGCAGCTTCAGCCTCAAGAATCCAACCTGAAGAAGTCTCTATGTACAACACAAGAGATGTCAAACAGAGAAAAGGCATTGAATGCCTGGAGTGGCACCAGCAACTGAAGCATCTAAACCCCAGACTTTCAGAAGGAAATCACTGAGAGCTGTAAAAATGAAGGTGCCCATGAACACATCCACCTTTACATCCAGTTAGCAAGAGTTCTCACATGCAAAATAGGAGGATCTGGCTGCACCTGAGCAGCATTTGAGTTTTATCCTTCCTTTTTTACCATCTACAGAGGAAGAACATTAGCAGACTATAAGGTAATAGCATAGCAAATCATATAAACATTTTGAGGAATGGATTAATTCACCACATCCCAAACACAATAGTTATAAAGCTTTAATATGTTGACATTGTCACATAAAGCTATAAAGTATTATTGTACAACTTCCAGTTGCAGGCTTGCAAAGGACAAAAGCTCTATATTTTTTTAAAAATCTAAACCTACTTGTTTATTTTATTAACCTCACTGTCTCTACCAGCCTGGCTAGTCTAGGTGATAAAAATCTACAGAGGATATACTCCAATGCTTTCTTATTACAGACTTTGTCAATGCATGCTTTCAACCACTGTAATTTTTGGTCCATCCCAAATCAGCCAGAAGCAGTAATGATTCACATTTTAAATGTTTCTCCAAGACATCAAAAAACTGAGGAAGCCAGCACTTTGAGACTGGACACTCCTCTTCCAAGCTCCTAACCATCCTTTGCTGGAATAATTTCTTTCAGATTACAAGGTGAAAACAAACGACACCCAAACAACATACCTTAGATTCTTCTTTGCTGTAGTTTTAACTGAGTTTAACCTATCCAATTCTAAGCAGACAAGCTAAACATCCTCAAGTGTAATCAAAAGCTCTATACATACATAAGAACTTCACAAGCAGTTCACAAAAACTTGGTCACCTTGGCCCAACTCCATCCAAACGACCACATCAATGTTGCAACAGTGAGTCACCTCAAAAATATGTCTCTCATTGAGAAGTCAGACAGAAAAGTCAGTGCTCTGGGAGCCTTTCCCACACAAGTGGCTGGAATTTTGTTAGATCTGGTCCAGCTCCACTATTTTTACTGTGGTAGTCCAAGTAGTTGATATTAGCATTGTAAAGGTTGCTTAGTCCAAGCCAAGCTCCTGTGCTAGAGTAAGACTGCATCTCCTCCTACCTTTGAAACAGACGTGGGGTAGAGAAGACAGGACTTTGAGGTGCAGGGCTAGATCATGCTCAGTGCTTCTCAAGAATGGAGGTTGCATATGTCTTTGAAGATGATGGTATTGCCTAGTTGTTTTCTCCCCAGATACATTCCTGCCCTCTGGTTTGGGAGTGTAATGCCCTGGCAGCACCCTGCATATTCAGCACTTCTGTCTGTACCATGTCTGCTCTCCAGGTCTCACAGCTTAGCCTCTGGAGGAACCTAAATGCACAAGGGCTTGCATCTCGTGCATGGCAAAGCTTTCTGAAATGCTACATTTCTTAGAAGGCAATAAAGCAATGCTCTCCACAATTCAGCATTTAAGTATTTCTGGCCCAGTTTTTCAATTCTGAGATAATTTTAATAAAGCTTTGTCCAGTCTATGTCTACATACACCATGTCTACACTAAGCTGTGGATTCATGAGGGGCCATGGCCTTTGTCAGCTTCTCCTTCCCACCCTGATTTCACTCCCTGTCACTCACTGGCTCCTCCACTCCACATTGTGCTGACACACCCCAGTGTATGAAGCTGCAGAAAAGTGAATTCCTAATAAAAGCAAATAGCTTTCCTCTGCCTTTCACACAAGGCAGGGTGAGGTGAGCAAGGGAGTGTGAGGGAGAAGCTAGGACTCCAAGAGAAAGGATTGGAAGGTCTGAGCAGGCAGGATGGCAGCAGTCAGTAACCATGCTAACTCAGACTGCTGCAGAACATCCATCTCAGCTCCTTGGATCTTCATGTCAGCTAAGTGAAGAGTTGTCTGATTTAGCTATTGAATGACTTGAACAGTCAGAAGGAGATCAGTGGGATATTTACCCTCTAATCTAAGAGAGCACTTGAAGTGATTCAAGACACACAACTGTTGTTTTAATGAGAAAATAAAAAAACAAATTTAATTAGATTTCACTCTATAGGAAGACTCAACAAGAATTCACAACAAGCATTAATCTTGCTCTTGGGTAAAAATGGGATGAGGCCAAAACTTCTTTAACCACCAAAGGCTAAAAGGGGTCTCCTTTATTCAGGTGCCTTCACAATCAGTTCTCAGTTTCAAGTACACTGTACAAATCAAGAAGGAAGGGCTAATTCATAGAAATATTAAATCTGCCTATTGGCTCATTTCATGCTTGAACCATTATCTTTTCCAACTTTTTAACAGTGTAAGAAGGATAAGAAGGACTAGATCCTTGAAGTATAACCACCATCCAAAGAACAAGATACACTTGTAAATAAACCTTAGTTTAAACCAGACCTAGTTCTTTCAACTTCACAGAAGCATAACAGTATTTTCTATTTTTTTCCTCAGTGTAGAAGATACAATGATTTGAGAAGCAGGATAAAGAAGAATGTGAACTATCCAAGGACAGGATCAGGAAATTAATCTGAGATGTTCTATTCCTTAGAAATAAAAAGATAAAAGGTACCAACCATGCAATGAAGAAGCTGCTCAACTCCTAAGAAAAAGGTAAACTTGTGGATTTGAAGAAACATGCTTTAATTTCAGGTGCACTTCAAAATTAAAACAAAAAATAATAATAAAGATTCTCCCTTTGATTTTAGATGTGCCTCAGCACAAAGGTAGGAAGAAATCACTGTGAGGCAAGTGATCTCACAACATGGGATCTACATGCAGTTTCTAAAGAGGGTTCCCTGATGGGAGGCCCTGTCTCACAGGACAGGTGCAAAGGGGCCCGTTTCAACAACGTTATACAAAGCTACACCATGTCTGCCACACTGTACTGCCTGCATGGCTGGCAGGTACAGTCAGAGTTTAAAACTCACCCGTTGAAGAAGAGTACTAACAAATGTAGGAAATGGAGCCACATAATATTACTTGTCCTTTAAAAGTGACAAATACCAAAGTTCCTTCACCAAATATGGGTTTATCATGATATACTGGGTGATGACTGTATTTTTTTTTCCCTCTGCAATTCCTGTTGCCAGCAAACCTGAAATTGAGTAATAAAATGATTGATATGTAACTGTCTGGGATATAGTTCAATGTATATCTTAGAAGTCAGTTTCTGGCACCAAGAGATAAATGAATGGCAAAGAAATTGTACAAGTCAATTGTAGAAATCGAATGTACAAGTGTTCTTTTTGCATCTGTGCTCAGGGGAGCAGGTTAATACATCTTGAAAATAAAAACTAAAGGCACAAAAAGAATTAGGGCACTGTCATTTCCATTTCAATATAGCATTTTGCAGATTGTGAGAGTAGCAGAGATGCAGCACATAGCCAGCAAGCCAGTCAGACCAGACAAACAGGTCAAATGGTGATCAGACTCATTTGAAGATTTCCATGTGCTCCACCAAACGTATCCAGACTTCAGAGCTGTTACACAAAAGGGGCAGGGGACACACAGCAGGACACTACTGGGTAAGTCCTTTCTGGTTTTTGAAAAGCAAAGCAAAGAACATATGCATCAATCAATTCCAAGGAGGGATTTTTGGATTTAAAAAAAGTTCTGTGTTTACTCTGTTTCAAAGAAGTTGATCAGCTTAAACTAACCCACTTCTTGACCTCCCATTGGACCAGATACTTGAAGTGAGTCATGAAGCGTGTTTAGGAACCCTGGTATGTATCAAGGACTATCTCACAGTGAAGACTACCAGAGCCAAAGGCAGTCAGCAAGTGCCAGGAGGCACTCAACACCCTACCAGGCAAAACAGATATCATGAAAGAGAGATGGTAAGAGTCTGCATTCTCTTCTCTATTTTGAGCTAGAGGTGAGGCAACCGCACCCTTTGCAACACGCCTGTGGAAAATGTTAGCTCTTGAATAGCACTGACATAAGCTCCCAAGCCTAAACTCCATTCTGATTTGAAGTGAGCACAGTTCTACCAAAAATGAAACATAATTTGCTCTTTCCTGATATGGTTTCCCTTCATAAGCCAATCCATGGCCACCGAAAAAGGGTGAAAAAGCTCAGACCTTTCAAGGATGTTAATGGGAGGTGGGACATGGGCAGGAAGATCTGATCTTCTCATCAAAGATGGGCCAGCTGCTTAGCTGCTGTTGCCTCTAAGTGATGAAAGCAATGCTCAGGACCCTTTTTCTCCTGTGCTATGACACAATTTGCTCAATGTGCCAGCCATGGGCCAAGCTAACCAGCCTCATTCAGGTGTGGGGGGAGAGAGAGAAGCTGCAGCAGCACAGTGCATGTCCCAGCCACGCAGGAACTGCAAGGTGTGATCCCGTTATGTGCTTAGTGCTCACAGCAAGGATCACCAAATCAGAGAATGGTTGAGGTTGGAAGGGGCCTCTGGTGATCATCTTGGCCAGCCTCCCTCCCTACTCAAGCAGGGACACTTAGACCTCCTTGCCCAGGACCATGTCCCAGACTGGGATGGAGACTCCACAACCTCTCTAGGCAAATTCTGTCAGTGTTTGACCACTCTCACAGTGAAAAAAAGCATTGTCTAATGTTCAGATTGACTTTCATGGGCCCATTGCCTCTTCTCCTGTCACTGGACACCACTGAGGAGACTCCAGGCTCCCTGTTCTTTGGTCCCTCCTGTCAGGTACTTATACCTGTTGGTGTGCTTCGCTGAACCTTCTTCCAGTATGAACAGTCCCAGCTCCCTCAACCTCTTCTCGCGTGAAGCATGTTTGAGAACCATCATTATCATTGTTGATCTGTGCTGGACTCACTCCAGTAAGTTCATGTCTCTCTTTCACTGGGAAGCCAAGAACTGCACACAACACTACAGATGAGGCCTCCTTTCTGCCAAGCAGAGGGGAAGGATCTTGACCTGCTGGCAACACTCTTACTAATGCAGCCCAGTATGCTGTTGGCCTTCTTTTCCACAAGAGTGCATTGCTGCTTCATGGTCAGCTTCTTGTCCACTAAGATTACAGTAAACTACATCTACCACTCTCCCCTCATCCACCAAGCTACCTCATTACAGAAGGCAATAAAGGCTTTTATTGTTCCTTTTTAAAATTCTACTGCTTTTCTCCCTGTTTCTTCTTTTTCCTGACAAGGAACAAACAGCTTGAATCCAATGGTCATTGATTACATTCAATTAAAAAAAAAAAAAAAAGGAAAATGCGTATCAAGATTACAAGGAAGTCAATCTTCCACTGCTTCTTAAAGAGAGGAATCATTCATTTGTATTATGAAGAGTGTATATAGAGGAGGAGGATACAACTTCCAGTTACTCCAAAGGCAAAGGCACACTGGAGAAAAGGTCTATGACATTAAGCCCAGAAGCCATTGTACTACCAACCTCAGATGGTTTCAATTCCACCGAACTCCCTGCACTTGGTCTTGGCTTGCTGTAGCCCTCTAGATGTAGTTAGATTACAGAGGAAGAGCAGCTCTAAACATTCTAGCTTCAGAGGAGTGGACTGGATACGATGCTGGGACCAAGAACAAATCAGCACCACATTCCTCAGCCTCCCTGGTGGACAGACCCTCCTGTGGTTCCCAGTCCTGTTGTCAGACACATTTGCCACCATGAAACTGCCCAAGAGCTGCCCACATCTGAAGACTAATAGGCTGGACTCACCTTGAATAACACAATCATGCTGGAGTGTGTCAGCAAAGATGGAAGAACCTGGAACAAGCCAAGTTCAACGCAATTTAATAGAGAATCAGCAGCTCCCAGGAAGGGGCAGGCAGAAGAGATTACAGATGCAATCTTCCTCACTAGTGCCCTGAGGGTAACAAAGGAACCATCACCTAAGAAAAGACTTGTTTTGACCTCCATGCACCCATGGGCTAGCTGGCACCACTAAGCATTTTCTGATAATATTGGTAGAAGACTGTAGTTTGTCTGACCACAGAACAATTTTATTACCTGGGAATCAATCTGTGTAAGTGCTTTGTATCATCTTTTTCTGCAGTCCTTCTTTAATGGATGTAATAAATAAAGCTCTGGCTTTATTACCAATACTTAATTATTTTCTAAAATTTGGAGAGAACTAAATTTTCTTTAGACACAGTTACCTGCACAAACGTAAATTCAGCATGATTTCCAATATTGTCAAGAACCTAGGAAAGCCTAAGGTTCTGAGCATTAGAGACATATTTCCACAAACACTGACACAAGGGAGGAACTGAATGTCACTGGCTCTTGAATTCTGACCCCAGTTTTGTAACCATCTCACTGTCTGAACCTCAGTAAATCATGTATTTTGCTGCTTCAGCTGCCCCATTTGCCAATGATGGCTAATAAAGACTTCACATGCATTGTGCCAAAGGTTTTGACCTTCATAACTCTTTAAGAGACATAAAATAAGACAAAAAAAGTTGAGCACTGCTAACGAGATCAAGGTGACTGTTTTCCTTTATAGTGTAAATGAGAACAGATGCTCACCAAAAAAACCAACAACAACCCCTTCAGAAAAAAATCACAACAAAACCAAATCAAGAGTCAACAGGTTACAGATGTAACAGACAAGCATGGATGAAAATATGTGTGAGAATTACCCTAAAACATCCAAGGAGGGAGCCACAGAATACGTAAAACAGTAGGAAATAGATGGTCTTTGGGGAGTTGCTTTCTGGTTGGTTTGTTGCTATTGAGCAAGATGAATAAAAATTGAGAGTTCTAGCTCACTGTGAAATGGGAATTATTATTTATTTCCTGACTGTCATTTACATACTTAAAATACACTTTGTTATCGTGTGTCACCAAAAAAACCCCATCATGCACAAGACATTGCAAATAAACCGTTTCCTTACTGGAAGAGCAATCTTGAATGCTAAGGCTACGTTAGTATTCATCCATTCCTGACTGTTACCATTCCTGACTGTTCTGTACCACCCATCATCACTCGCCTGTATCCAGCTGTTCCTTCCCAATGCTATCAATGGCTGTGGAGCAAGGGTTACCCATCCCCAGGGTGCCTGTGCAGCACCCGTGCAGTGTGTGGCTGGATCTGCCTCCCCAGCAGCTCCCACCTACAGTGCTGCGCTTTGCATTTGTGGTTAGAACACTCTTGATAACCCATCAGTCTTTCAGCTGCTGCTGAGCAGTGCTTGCACAGCAGCAAGGCTTGCTTTCTCTCTTCTTCTCCCCACCCCAAAGCAAGCAGGCTTGCAGGTGGGCGAGACATTGGGAAGGCACACAGGCAGGACAGCTGGCTCCAAATGACCACAGGTTTATTCCAGACCATCTGATGTTGTGTTCAGTGATAAAATCTCGCAAAACAAAGGTATAAGGGGAAACATTAAAGGCTATGGCATTTGTCTTCCCAAGCAACCACTGCATATGCTGAGGTCCTGCTTTCCAGGAAGTGGCCAAGCACCTGCCTGCCCATGGGGAGTAGTGAAGGAATTCCTCTTCTTGCTTTGCTTTTGTGTACAGCTTTTGCTTTCCCTATAAAACTCTCATTATCTTCATCCAGGCATCTTTTGGCCTTCCTTCTGTTTTCTCACTATCCTGCAGGAGAGAGAACTGAGTGAGAGGTTGGTGGGTGTCTGGCTGCTGGCTGGGGTTAACCTGCTGCAGATCACCTGCTCCTTCCCTGGGACTTCTGGCTGCTGCCATAGTACAAAGAAGTATATGAAAAATATTCACTGCAGAAAGGAACTGGATGGGGTTTTTGCAAATCCCAAGATGATATCCTGAACTGACAAACTGAAACTGCTGTCTTACTGTGTAACTTTTCACTACAGAGAATATTGGGTTTTTTCTATACAGAAGATGTAAAGTGCTAGGTAAACTGCAGGGAAGAAAGATAATGTCAGTAAGAAGCAAAATTGCCTCAAGCCCAGTTCTAGAGAAACAATATAACTCTTACCTCAAAGTTCTACCATGATACTGTGACACATACATTGTCAAGTACATTCTACCCAGCACTGCATTACCTTTTCATTGAACTGTTTTGCCACGCCATGTACAACCACATTCTTGCTTTTCTCAGAATATTTTCTTATCTTTCTTGACTGTACTCTCCTCTGCTACACTCTCCCATAGGAAGTTGTGCTATGACTTTTTGTCTCAGTGTTCCCTTTTCTTTTTCTGCACTTCATTCCCCTTTCCTCTTCTTCCCCCTACATTACACTTGACCTTTCTTGTCCTTCGTATCTCTCATTCTCTCCCATCCAAATTTTCCTCCATAGATGTGAATGCACCACAATTCCCTCTTTTAATGTCTCCTATCTATCTTCCCCATTCCCTTGCATTAGGATAGGCATTGCAATTAACTACCTAAAAACTAGCATCAGTTGGGGAAAAAGGTCAGGGGACAGTACTCAGCATAGTTTTCTACTTGAACAAAGATTGCAGGCAGCAGCTCTGGTTTATTTGTCTCCATTTCATAGTTGGCAACACCTGAAAGTGTTTTTCCTTTCCATTTTTCTCTCTTCAATTTAAGTCCCTAGAAGACCAAAACAGGTTTCCCCTCACCTCCCCCTTGGATGCTGTAAAACAGCACTGAGAGGAGAGCTTCTCCATTGTGGTTCCTGGAGCACTGATAAATCCTTGTACTGCTTTAACATCTCTCCTTCTGAATCTGAAAAGAGGATGAGCCTGAGAACTATCAGTTAAATTGATAAAAACTGGTTGATCTCCACTCTCTTAAAACTTACTCAAGTTCTAGTGCAAGCAAAAGTATAGAAACTGTCCATCTACAGATTTGGAGCAAGGGATAGCACTGACCCATATTCAGTTTAATGACAGCCTTTCAAAAGAAAAAAAAATAATCTAATAAGAGCTAAATGCTTTTTGTATTTGAACAAAAATGTCAAAGTTTCCAGCTTGTGACACCAGCCAAGATAGTAAGTGGAATTTTCCATCTCTAAGCAAGCCAATCAGGATAGCCATGCCCTGGAGAAATACCACTGACCACAGCTGTACATTTCCAAATGTTTGCCCTCAACACAGTGAAGCAACACCCATGTATTATTAAGTATATATTTCTGGATAGAATGAAACAAATTTTTTTTTAACAGCTTCCCAAAACAGAAAGATGAGCAAAACGCAGGCCAAGGTTACAACTGTAGTTGATGCAAGGCTGGTTCAGCTAATTTAAGCAACAGTGTTGACTTGCTGTAATCGGGACTTCCTTCTTCCCAGGCTGTGCTGGAAATGTGAGCTGTAACAGCCAAACCCCTACTAGAAAAAGAAGATGAAAAACCCAGTCCATTTAAAACTTCACTAATGACAGCTGAAATCAGCTGCCTTCAAGTGCATGGTGCTGTGAAGCAGTCAGTCTTTGGTTGCACAATAATCTCTCAGCCCCTGTGTCTGGGTAGATTTCCTTCTTGTCTGGCTGCTTTGCTAAAATAAGGAGGTTGCCTGGCCTATCTTGTGCACCAGCATCCACAGGCTATAAAAACAGTGGGAGGGTGAGAAAAGGCGAAATAATCTTATTCGGACCTTCTGTGACTCAGTAAAAGGACAATTCTAAGTACAAGCAAGTGGTATCCTTATCTATTAGTGACAAGTTATCTATCTGCTCAGACACAGGCCTCAGTGGTAGAAAGGGATGTGGGGTAATCACAGAACCAGCATGTGAATGACATTATTCAAGAGCCCTTGTTAAAGGTTGTTAGCCATGATCATTCCAAGGGCAATTCTTTATAATGACTAGCTACAATTAAGTCCTGCCTACCACTGATCACAGTGTGTGCAATCCTTCGGTCCTACCACTGCCAGTGTAACTGGCTCCCTGCCTCAAACTCCACAGCCGCCTGCATCACCAGTGCACCACACTGAAAGACATCACACAATCCTGTATGTTATTAACTTAAAGCTGAGGACTTCACAGTTATATGGCAAAGCATATACTATATTCTCATCAGGCAGAGCACTAATTTAAAAAACAACAAACCCAAACAACACAAGTTTCTTACCAACAGCAATCTCATAATTTTATTTCTTTTCTCTCCAATTAAGAGATTTGCTTTAAAATTCAACTTAAATTTTAAACATTTCAACTATAAAAGCATTATCAGTAAGTTTTTCCAATCTACATAAAAGATGCCCACACAACATTCCAAATAGTGCAGCAATGTAAGTGATGATTGAGTAAGAATACACAAGTGCCATATTCAAGTCACAAACAATTCCCAAAACATAGAAAACTCATTGCAAAACAATATTAATGGTACAGCTGATTTTTAGCTTGTCTGCAAAGGACAGGAACAGAATTTTAAATTCAGCAAATTCCCTAGCAGGATTTTAACTCTAGGATACACAGCTACTTTAACTCTCAAAGAGGTGCTCCTGTCTTCCTAGGCACCTGCAATGACTGAAGGTACTACACACAAGGTGCTTCCAAGGCAAGAAAAAGAGAGGGACTGGAAGGAAAAGAGAACTGTAAGCCAACAAAAGTGGGTTTAGTAGAACCTAAAAATTAAGAGGTCTGAGCTGTCTTGAGACAGAGTGGAAGAAAAGTGGTTCTTGATGGCAGAAAACCAATCAAACAATGATGTACAGGAATATACGTGCTTGTGGAGGTACAAGGGCACCTAAGGTATGTAAACATTGCTGGAGAACTTTGTCTTTTGAGGCTGTTGGTGCAAAAGCAGCAACAGAGTTCAAACATGGGTCTGGAGAGGGAGCCCTCCTTGGGGGCAGGAGATTGCCCACTTCACCTGCCATACACCTTTTACATACAACTTTTAGTTGGCTGGGAAGATCATCTCCCTGTAGGAGAAAGGCACCTCTGACACCACAACTCTCAACCGTTCTCAGCATATATTGTTTGGGTTGTCTGTATTGTTTGCCATTTAATAATCAATAAGTCCAATACTGTCAGTAATATACAATACAGAAAGTGCTTAATCCTTACTGTGAGCTATAGAGCTCTTGTACATAAAGTTCATGGCTGTCTAAAAATGGATATACCAACCATGCATGGCAATACCACCTACAAAGACGGAGCCCACGTTGGCTGACCAGCCAAGCCTGGCTCAGACAGGCTGGCTGCTTGAAGCCCAGGGTACACAGTGTTTATTATTAACAAATACCCACAAACTCTACACAGCAGGCTGCAAAGTTTCCCCCTTGACCGGGATATCCAACACATACCTAACAGCATACAGGTACTTTAAACTCAAATAGAAACATAAAATGCAAAGCCAGTACCTCATGGCAACAATCTAGTAAGCTATCAAACTAGATTAGTGAAAAATAAAAAGCATATGCAGTCTCATCTTCCTGAAAGCAGTCACTGAGATAAGGAATACCTTGCAGACTGCTCAGTGAAGTCTCAGTGCCTCTGCCTGCTAAGCCTCAGCCAGCAATCTGTTCATCACTTGCCCTTACAGATGCTGCTTACAACACAACCCATTCTTGTTGTCTGAGGCATTTATTGCTTGACTGATTCAAATCTTCAGTTAACACCTGTCATATCTCTGCCTGCCCCAGAGAACACCAGACTGACACCTGGCAATCTCACAGACAGCAGCTGAAAAGTTCATATCTGTCATCTCCAGCAAAGGCTTCATTAGCCAGGGCAACGCATCCTTGAGCAAGGTCCCTTGAATAAGAGGGGGATTTGTTGACATCACCAAAGTCCACGTTGTTAGCTGTGCTGGCATATCAGAATTTGTATCAGGAAAAGAACAGGTGAGAGTTCCTGAAAATGCTAACATCATGACATTTTCCAGACCAGCTGGCATCATCACAACCTGCTGGATCAGACCAGGCCTTAAGCACACAAAAGAACAACCTTTCCTAAGTGCAAACACTTGAGGCTCGGCAAGGTGCCAGAGAAGGGAAGGGCGATGAAGGAGTGTGTGTGGGGAGGAAATGAGAAGAGATGAGAATCCCCAGGGGCAGCTGACAGCCTTCGGTGACTGCCTGGAGACTGGCAGGCCTCTCAAACACGCCGGGACAGCACCCTTGTGTCTCTGCTAGGAACCTTCACTCCAGCAATGTACAAC